TTTATTTATTCATTTACAGTATTTTTATTCCGCCCCTCTCACCTCGCAGGGGACTCAGGGCGGATTACAATGTACACATATATGGCAAACATTCAATGCCAATTTGACATACAACATATACAGACATACACAGAGGCTATTTAACTTTTTCTGGCCGCCAGGGGAGCTGTTGCTTTCATCGTCCATCTGCGACCCTGATGAAGTACTTCCGCATTCCCCGCATGCTTTTTGCTGGAGTGCTTTGCTGGAGTCTTTTTTATGGACTCATAAATTAGTTAATTTAGCCTCCCCACACAAAGTGGTACCTAATTTTCCTACTTGACAGATGCAACTGTCTTTCGGGTTGCAAAGGTCGACAACAGGCTACAGAATTGGTTGGCTTCGAACTCATGACCTTTTTGGTCAGAGTGATCTTAATGCAGCTGACACTCAGCCAGCTGCACCACAATCCCGGTGCAATTTTACATAAAATTACAATTTTATGGGACTCCCCATAAGAACCTGAATGTCGGTACCCAGCACTTTCTCATATTATGCCTTTTGCCACACGTCTTTTGCCCACCTGGCTGCCACTTTCAAGCTGTAACAGTCAGGACTGAATTTATGCGCTGCTTCATGTGACACGGAACAATGTACCTCCCCCCGTTTAGGAAAGATGCTATAAATACAGTAGCATGCATTAAGGAGCCAGCCCTTGCCAAATGGCAGGTTTCCCCTATTCCATAAATGACAGAAGGGAAATGGGGGATTCTCTTCTTAGGTGTGACATGTTGGCTTTTAAGAGAGGCGGCTGAGCTACTACGTGCTGGAATGATGGTGAGGTGGGAGCGAAGCTTGCATTAAAATCATATAAAACCTAAAGCAATACACGGCAAGGCGGTCATAATCCCAACGCCAGGCTTTTGCCAGATGTTTCACTTTTTCCCTGAGTAAACACCTACTCTACTCATCAAGCGTGTCAAGTATTATTTTTTTGAGCTGTGCACATGCAAGCATTTAATAGAGCGGTAGCTACTTTGTGGAAAAGGAGGCTAATTACAAAACCATATCCCGTTCTGTGCAAAATTATTCCTATATAAAAACCAAAAGGGAGAGGGGGAAGTCCCTTTAGTGAGTGAGGGACTATCAAGGTTGGCAAACGGTAAATGTGATTTTCTTCTCCCTTGGCCCCTCCCATTCTACTTTACATCTACTTACTTACTTAAGTGATCCCTCGTTGTCCGAGTAGAATAGTCTTCCAAGATCTGTGTCCTGGCGGTGGGTCCATAGGTGGCTGTGGAACCCTATTCTTGACCTGTGTCTTCTCCCACAGTGAGGGTATCAGTTTCCAGGTGGAAGGTGGTCTTGGTTGGGGTTGTGGCTTGATGTGCCTTCCTCTTGGCACATTTCTCTCTTTCACCTCCATTCGCGCCTCTTCAAATTATACAGCACTGCTGGTCACAGCTGGCCTCCAGCTGGAGCGCTCAAGGGCCAGGGCTTCCCAGTTCTCAGTGTCTATGCCAGAGTTTCTAAGGTTGGCTTTGAGCCCATCTTTCAATCTCTTTTCCTGTCCTCCAACATTCCGTTTTCCATTCTTGAGTTAAGAGTAGAGCAACTGCTTTGGGAGACGTGGTTGGGCATTCGGAAAATGTGGCCAGTCCAGTGGAGTTGATGGCGAAGGATCATCGCTTCAATGCTGGTGGTCTTTGTTTCTTCCAGCACGCTGACATTTGTCCGCTTGTCTTCCCAAAGGATTTGCAGGATTTTCCAGAGGCAGCGCTGATGGAATCCTAGGAGTTGCATGTGACGTCTGTAGACAGTCCACGTCTTGCATATAGCAGGGTTGGGAAGACAATAGCTTCATAAACAAGCACTTTTGTATCCCTACGGATGTCCCAGTCCTCAAACACTCTCTGTTTAATCTGGAAAAATGCTTCAACAATATACCATTCTGAATTTCTACATTAATCCATTGTTGTCATTGCACAAGCAAGGTAAACGTAAAGGTTTTCCCTGACATTAAGTCTGGTCATGTCTGTTGGAGCATGTAAGTACTCAGTTAATGTAATGTTAACTTTAACAAAAGGTGCATGAAGCTGATTGGTCAGGCAATGACCAGGGAGATGGGTAGCCTGGGACTTTTGGATACTATTACATTTTTGTTCCGGCTTGAGCTATTCAGGTACAGAGAGAGAGAGAGAGTTTGGAGAGAGAACCTGAGAGGGACAGAGTTTGGAGTGTAATCTTGCTTCATGAGCTGCTGAAGGGGACGGCTAGTTTCTAATAAAAGGACATGATCACACTGTACATACATTGTTCTGAATTAAGAAGAGTAAACTACTTGAATCTTAACTATTTATCTGTGTGTCATGTTTTTCTTTCTCTGGCAAGGCAGTGTGTGAGCTGGTCAAACATGAACTACACATGGTTTGTTTTACACTATGCCACAGTGTCCGACTCTGGGAGGTGGTGCTCATCTCCATTTCTAAGCTGAAGAGCCAGCATTGTCCGTAGACACCTCCTAGGCCATGTGGCCAGCATGATTGCATGGCGCACTGTTACCTTCCCGCAGAAGCGGTACCTATTGATCTACTCACATTTGCATGTTTTCGAACTGCTAGGTTGCAGAATCTGGGGCTAACAGTGGGAGCTCACTCCACTTCCCAGATTTGAACCACTGACCATTTGGTCAGCAAGTTCAGCAGCTTAGCGGTTTAACCCACTGCACCACCAGAGGCTCGACAAATTGTCATAGCTATGTATAAATGGATAAACTGAGTTAGACAACGAACCCCACTTTTTTATTTCAAGAGCCTGATCCCTTCTCCTTTTCTCCACCATATAATGAAACACAACTTTTTCCAGGAATCCTAGAATATCTCTGGATCTATTTCTCCTCTCCTTGATGCTTAAAACACCTGCTTCCTGGAACTGCTAAATTTAACATGCACAAGAAAAGTAGCTTATTCCACAGGAATATCACATAATCACAACAACTGGAATAGGCAGTAGGCAGCATTCAACGCTTTGTCAAGCCTCTGTCGGGGTTGAAATGTTTCCTCCAGAGCAGGACAGAAGGAATCCCTATTTGCAACATTGAAAAGCTTTAAAATGCTTAAAAGAATGCACACTTTACTGTAGATGGGAAGAAGACCTATGTCTCATCAGTTGACATTCTTAATAACCATACAGCCGTATCATGCTGTATGGTTGCTGTAACATCAAATCCCTGTTTGGTGCAATCATACTCAAATACTGAGTATGATTGGAATCAAAGCCAACCTTAAAAACTGTGGGATAGACACCGAGAACTGGGAAGCACTGGCCCTTGACTGCTCTAGCTGGAGGTCAGCTGTGACCAGCAGTGCTGTAGAATTTGAAGAGGCACAAATGGAGGGCAAAAGAGAGAAACGTGCCAAGAGGAAGGCGCATCAATAAGACCGGGTTGAGGCGCAGCTCGTTGGGAGTCAACTGCATTAAAATCACTACTGACTGGGAGGTCATGAGTTCGAAGCCAGGCCGGTTCAGAATGAGCTTCCGGCCATTTGTCTAGCTTGCTGTCAACCTTTGCAGTCCAAAAGACAGTTGCATCTGTCAAGTAGGAAATTTAGGTACTGCTTATGTGGGGAGACTAATTTAACTAATTTACGATGCCATAAAAACTCTCCAGCAGCATGCAAAGAATGAGGAAGTACTCCATCATTGTCACGAGTGGATGGTGAAGCGATAGCTCCCCCAGTGGCCGGAATTCAAAAAGCATACCCTCATGAAGCTGGAAAGTTAAATAGCCTCTGTGTCTCTGTCTATATATGTTGTGTGTCTGTGGCACTGTTTCTCAACCTTCCTAATGCCGCGACCTCTTAATACAGTGCCTCATGTTGTGGTGACCCCCAACCATAAAATTATTATCATTGCTACTTCCTAACGGTAATTGTGTTACTGTTATGAATCATAATGTAGGATGTATTTTCATTCACTGGACCAAATTTGGCACAAATACCCAATAACGGAGCTCCATGCAGTCATGTCGCCTTGGAGGTGTCTATGGACAACACCAGCTCTTTGGCCTAGAAATTGAGCACCAACCCCCAGACTTGGACACGACTGGACTTAATGTCAGGGGAAAACTTTTACTTTACCTTACCCAATATGCCAAATTTCAATACTGGTGGGGTTGGAGGGAGAATTGATTTTGTCATTTGGGAGTTGTAGTTCCTGGGATTTAAGACCATGAAAATGAACAAAATCTGGCTACCAGTATTTAAAAAAACCCTCTAAAATTACAACAGCAAAACAGCAGAGAGGAAACAACCAGGCACATCTAAACACCTCTCAACAAAAGATTTTCCCAGGCTCAGCCAGGCCTTCAAATGCTAATGAAGGTGGTCAGTTGAAACATTCACACCTAGCTCCAGCAGAGAAGAGCTCTTTGCCCCACCCCAGCCATTCCACAGATATATAAACCCATTGTCCTAATTCCAACAGACCTCACTACCTCTGAGGATGCTTGCCATAGATGCAGGCGAAACGTCAGGAGAGAATGCCTCTAGAACATGGCCCTATAGCCCGAAAAAACCCACAAGAACCTAGTGATTCCAGCCATGAAAGCCTTCGACAATACATCTTTTCATACCCTTGAGTGCAATTAATCTGGCCCTGGAGTCCTGAATTTGTTTATAGTAGCCGTATATTGCTTCTTCCTACTGTGAGAAACATCAGTTCTGTGCAAAATTTGAACTTTTTTGGGTGAAGAAAATGTTGTTTTCTGTGTAAATATGGCACAGAGTAAGTTCCAATCTGCAGATATTCTCACCAGTCCAGGATTCCTCCTGGATACTCAAGAAACATATTTTTCAACAACTGTGTGACAATTTTGGACATCCATTCCATCTCTTTTTCACAGACTCCAGAGACCACAGTTGTGAGAGTGGACAAAAGTAAGAGTGCTTTACTGGGGCCGACTCTATTCATTTGGGTAAGAGAAATTAATAGCACCAAATGCACCAAAGGTACTTACTTACCTGGCAAATTCCACTGATGCACATGTCCAGGGATTTAGCATTGCAGCGGGTCCCGTCCAGAACTTTGGGGGCCAACTCCACTACCAACTGTTGGCCCAAGGCTTGGCACTTCAGGGCACAGGGAGAGCTGGCATCATCATAAACAGGGACCCATTCATAAAAATGCCCCTGGTACTTGACGTCATTGTAGGCTGAACACTGCTGAGCCCGGAAATCGCCAGCATCTGATTGGCAGTCCTGAATGGGAAAACAAAACAACCCTTTGCAATTAAATGCACTTCCTCACAATTAAGGTTGCAATCACTGTTGTTGCTGTGTGCCCTCAAGTTGTTTGCGTCTTATGAGAGCTGTAAAGTAAACCTATCACAGGATTTTCTCCGCAAGGTTTTGTCAACCTTCATCTTAAGTGGAGAGAGTATGACATGACCATAGTCACCCAGTGGATTTCTATGGCCAAGGGGCATTTGGACCTTGATCTCTCAGAGTCTTAGGCCCATCTACACTGGACACAAGATCTGGGGCTGGTCTGGAAAATGACTAGTAAAGAGTAGTTCTGTCAAACCAGTTCTGAGCTGACCAATATACATGGTTTAACTGATGATTTGGAGAGGATTGTGAGCTTTCCTGTGACACAAACGGATGGGCCTTCAAGTATGGGAAATTCAAGTCTGGGGAATGATGCTTCTCTGTGAGAAAACTGGCACGGAAAGAGAAAGACCCCAAAGGTATTCGGGGAGTCAGAAGTAGCAACAGTAGATAAGGAATCAATTTTGTTTTTTGTTTTTGTTTTTTTTGTGTCAGGAGTGACTTGAGAAACTCCAAGTCCCTTCTAGTGTGAGAGAATTGGCCATCTGCAAGGACATTGCCCAGGGGACACCCAGATGTTTGATTTTTTGCCATCCATGTGGGAGGCTGTAACGTAAATCTATCACAGGATTTTCTCTGCAAGGTTTTGGCCACCTTCATCTTAGGTGGAGAGAGTATGACTTGATCAAGGTCACCCATTGTATTTCTATGGCCAAGGGGCATTTGGACCTTGATCTCTCAGAGTCTTAGCCCCATCTACACTGGACACAAGATCTGGGACTAGTCTGAAGAATGACTAGTAAAGGGTAGTTCTGTCAAACCAGTTCTGAGCTGACCGATATACATGGTTTAACTGATGATTTGGAGAGGATTGTGAGCTTTCCTGTGACACAAACAGAAGGGCCTTCAAGTCTGGGAAATTCAAGTCTGGGGAATGATGGTTCTCTGTGAGAAAACTGGCACGGAAAGAGAAAGACCTCAAAGGCATTCAGGGAGTCAGAAGTAGCAACAGTAGATAAGGAATCAAGTTTGGGTTTTTTGTTTTTGTTTTTTCGTGTCAGGAGTTTTTCAGTGTTTTATGAGTGACGGTCACTCGTTGGCATAATAGGTGTCTTGTGTCCAAATTTCGTGTCAATTCATCCAGTGGTTTTTGGGTTATGTTAATCCCACAAACTAACATTACATTTTTATTTATATAGATATGCAAGACAGGAGTGGATCTCCAAAACTGAATAATGCAAATAGCAAAGCAGAAAATACATGTATTTCTTAGATAAGTTGCCAGTCTTGGAAGGCTGCAATTTTTTTTCATGTCTGGAATGACTTGGGAAACTACAAGTCCCTTCTGGTGTGAGAGAATTGGCCGTCTGCAAGGACGTTGCCCAGGGGACACCCGGATGTTTTGATGTTTTGCCATCCATGTGAGAGGCTTCTCTCATGTCCCCGCATGGGGAGCTGGAGCTGATAGAGGGAGCTCATCCGCGGGCTCTCTGGATTTGAAACTGCAACCTGTCAGCCTTCAGTCCTGCTGGCACAAGGGTTTAACCCACTGTACCACAGGGGTCTCTGAGGAATCAAGTGAAGAGTTGAGTGATAAGGAGGGCTTCCAGGAGAAACCACCTGTAGTTATGGAGATCAACAAAAGTCTTCATTTGGAGATCAAGCAGAAAACAGGTTGCGTCGTTCAGAGAGATTGTGTGGGGAAAGTTGTAAGAAAATTAATGGGAAACTGAATGATTTCATGGGTGTCTGTTAAACAGCAAGTTGTTTACCTTTAGGTTAGATCAGGCAACGTAGCATTAGAGTGGGAAGCTAGGCCTTGGTTCTCTGATTCTTGGTTCAAGTCATGCCTTGGTTTTGGATTTAAGTGTCCTGGAAGTTTTCTATGTTCCTGTTCCTGTATTCCTGTTCCAAGTTTTTACTAGTTATACATTCTTGTTTGTGGATTTATGTCGTACTTGTGATTTCTGGCTGTTCCTGGACTATGTCACCTTTGGACCTTTATGAGACATTTGGATTACTGTTTGGTTATGACCTGTTGCTAAACCTTTTTGGATAATATAGCTTCTTCTCTTATACCTGATTTTTTTACACTTTTGTGTGTTTTTATAATAAACTGTTTGCTTATAATAATATAATAATAATACTTTATTTATACCCTGCTACCATCTCCCCAAGGGACTCGGTGCGGCTTACATGAGGCTAAGCCCAAAATACAACAATACAAGCAATAACAATAACAATACAAGCAATTTAAAATAGCAAAACAATAAAACAATAACATAAGCATTATCAAAAGGACAACACACTTTAAAATCTATGGGTAGGCCAAATGTAATTAAAATTAAATGACTAAAGAATAATGCTGGACATGGACGAAAAAGTGATGTGGCGGTTTGTGGGAATATACGAGCAGACCTAAATATATAAAGTGCTTTGGAGGACAAAGTGCTATGGGATCATTATTCTGGGAAGGCACACTGGAACAACCACATCTTCAAGCTCCTCCTGAAGACTGCCAAAGTTGGGGCATGCCTGATGTCCTTAGGAAGTGAGTTCCAGAGTCGAGGGGCCATCACCGAAAAGGCCCTCTCTCTCGTCTCCACCAATCGCGCTTGTGATGCAGGTGGGAGCGTGAGCAGGGCCTCTCCAGATGATCGAAGAGTTCGTGTGGGTTCATATACAGAGATGGGTCCTCAAACTTTTTAAACCGGGGGCCAGTTCACTGTCCCTCAGACCGTTGGAGGGCCGGACTATTTTTTTTTAAAAAAACCAATTAAAAATGCCTATGCACATTGAACATATCTTATTTGGCTGTGTGGAAGGGTTCTTTCTAGCCCTCTTTAGGCAGAAATTCCAGGAGCAGAGAATGGGAAATCTTCCTATTTCTAGTCTGAACAAAATCTGGCTACCAGTATTTAAAAAAACCTCTAAAATTATAACTGTAAATAAAGAACAACACTCAAACACAGGGGAACTCCAGACAAGAAACAATCAGGGCCAGCTAATCACCTCTCAACAAAGGATTCTCCCTAAAAACCGTCAGGCTATGAAATGGCAATCAAGATGGCCAATTGAAACATTCATACCTACCTCCAACAAACAAGAGTTCTTTCTCCCACCCTGGATCTTCCACAATTTTCCTGGTTAAAGGTTTTCCTCTGACATGAAGTCCAGTCGTGTCTGACTCTGGGGTGTGGTGCTCATCTGCATTTCTAAGTCGAAGAGCTGGCGTTGTCCGTAGACACCTCCAAGGTCATGTGGCCGGCATGACTGCATGGAGCGCCAAGGCAGCCTCCCTTGGCTGGCTCACGTTGCCCATCGGGCCCGATGGGCAGCGTGAGCCTGCCAAGGGAGGAGCAGCACCGCGCGGACTACTCGCGTGTAAAGCACCTTGCGGGTGCTTTACATGCGAGTAGGCCGCGGAGCAGCTGCCCTTGGCTGGCTCACGCTGCCCATGGGCCTGACGGATAGCGTGAGCCAGCCAAGGGAGGGGCACTGTGTGTGTGGGGGGGGGGCGCTCCTCCTCCGTGGGCCGGATAAGTGCCCTTGGTGGGCCGGAAGTGGCCCGCGGGCCGTAGTTTGAGAACCCCTGTTCTAGACTCTTGCGTGGTGTGGTGGTCATGGGTGTTTCCAGGCCTGAAGTGCAAAAATTACATAATCTTTTGCTATTCTTTCACTATGCCTGGACAGCTGCTTCCTTCCGTCTTCCTCCTAACTTTACTTACGAGAAAACCTGTGATTCCTGATGGCACCCTAACACCGTAACAATTTGTTTCCTCTCTTGCTCAGACTTGTTCTCTTTGGCTTGCGGTCCTGTCCTAGCAATGGCTCAGCTTTTTCTTCTCAGGCTCCAATTCAGCACACATTCCTTATACTGATTTTTTACATTATTTCTTGGCCCAAACCGTAAATCTGATTCTCTGCGCTTCCTGGCTCTAGATTACTCAACAACAACAACAGAAAGCTACAAAGCACTTTACGAATAGAAGATATGAGAAATTTCAAAATAAAGACCTGGGAAAATAGGAAAGACAGAGTCCATAAGACAGAGTCCATAAGAAGAAGACTGCAGGCAATTAAATTTATGAACTTCGTTTGCAAAGGCACACAAAGTATTTCTAGATCTCTGACAAAAAGGATATAACTGTTGCATCATAGGAATGAGAGCCCTGCTCCAAAATAAGTCACTAAGTGTATGCATGCCCTCAAATTGCTTACATAACTGTGGAAAGATACTCAAAACAAATGACAGAGGAATCAGATGTAAGAGGCTGTAAAAAATGTAAAGGAAAAACATTAGGATCTATTTGAGCATGAGTGCATTATGGGAGTTAATTCTCTTTGACTGCATGAGAAATAGTTTGAAGAGCTGCTGATGGAAAGAAACCAGGAATCCAGGCTCCACTTCTTCAATGGCAAAATATCACCACTTTCTCCCTTCTGTAGTGCCTGCCACAGGGAAACCATTAGCCATCACCGCGTGGGAACGAAAAGCAGGAAAACTAGAGCCATGCGGGGTGATGGTAAGACCAAAAGCTACTCAAAGCCAAAGGAGAATGCAGTCCGGGATTCCTCCTAGTCAATGTGGCAGCTTGAATAAGACATCTTTAATAGTTTTCCTTGTTGATGTCTAGTAGGCATGGTTAGGTTCGGTCGGAATCTTCGTAATTCGGAATAAATTCAGAAAGATATGGTTTTTGAAGCGATTTCAAAGTTTTTAAGGAAACCGGAAGTCCCTTTGCCCTTCTGAAGCTTTTTCTGCCATTTCTGTTACAAATCAGTAAGGGAGTCGGATCCCCCAGAGAAGTCGTTTTAAACCAGAGTGGATGAATTCCCTCCCTTTCCTTTCCCTCGACTTCTGTCTTGAGCCTGAGAAGCGTTTTAAAGCAGAGTGGATGAATTCCCTCCCTTTCCTTTCCCCCGACTTCTGTCTTAAACCAGATAAGTGTTTTAAACCAGAGTGGATGAATTCCCTCCCTTTCCTTTGCCCCGACTTCTGTCTTAAACCAGATAAGTGTTTTAAACCAGAGTGGATGAATTCCCTCCCTTTCCTTTGCCCCGACTTCTGTCTTAAACCAGAGAAGTCATTTTAAACCAGAGTGGATGAATTCCCTCCCTTTCCTTTCCCCCGACTTCTGTCTTGAGCCTGAGAAGCGTTTTAAAGCACAGTGGATGAATTCCCCCCTTCCTTTCCCCCAGCTTCTGTCTTAAACCGGAGAAGCGTTTTAAAGTAGAGTGGATGAATTGCCACAGGGGGGCTCGCCTTCCCAAACTACATTTATCAGAATGCTGTGTTCTCAATCCCAAAAAGAAAAATGGGTTCCCCTGAAACTGTGGAGACCAAAATCCACTGATAGTGGTGATATGAGAATAACTAAATTAACTCAATGTATATATTACAAATACACATATCAAAAACTGCCACATACACATAAGTAGCCCCTCATTTCTGATAATGAGCACTGCATTCTGGGAAAAGTAGTTTAGGGCAGGGCCTTTTGCATTCTCTACCATAGGCGACTTGCCTCCCAAACTACATTTCCCAGAATGCTGTGTTCTCAATCCCCCATTGGGGCTTTCCAATCCTGAGCACTACATTCTGTGAAAAGTAGTTTAGGGCAGGGCTTTTTGCATTCTCTGCCACAGGGGACTTACCTCCCAAACTACATTTTCCAGTATGCTGTGTTCTCAATCCCCCCATTGGGGCTTTCTGATGCTGAGCACTGCATTCTGGGAAAAGTAGTTTAGGGCAGGGCCTTTTGCATTCTCTGCCACAGGGGACTCGCCTCCCAAACTACATTCCCCAGAGTGCTGCGTTCTCATTCCCACCATTGGGGCTTTCTGATGATGAGCACTGCATTCTGGGGAAAGTAGTTTAGGGCAGGGCCTTTTGCATTCTCTGCCACAGGGGACTCGCCTCCCAAACTACATTTTCCAGAATGCTATGTTCTCAATCCCCCCCCCCCAATTGGAGCTTTCTGATGCTGAGCACTGCATTCTGGGGAAAGTAGTTTAGGGCAGGGTCTTTTGCATTCTCTGCCGTAGAGGGCCTCACCTTCCCAAACTACATTTCTCAGGGGAAAGTTACTTCTTCATGCAGGCACAAAGCAAAGACACCTTGAGTTACAGAGATTCAGGAAACAGAAGTGAAACATAAAACTACAGACAAATGCCACAGCATTCCCTCTGTCCCTAATTCTTCTATATACAGATGTTGATGCTTCTTCACTTCCAACAAGGATCATATCTATGCACGCAAGTGTAGCTGCTCAGGATCGCTGGGACTGAGGGTTTCACTTCATTGCTATCCTAAAAATAGTGTACAGCTGCTAGATTTGATGATACAAAGCACGCAAATAAAAATAATAGATGAGACTCACGTTATTGCTGCAGGTTTTGTATCGGATATTCCTGCCTTCACAGTTCCTAGAGGAGAAAAAAACAAGGTGAGAATTCAGTGCCTAGTAGAAGTACCACTGAAATTGAATCACAGAGTCATAGAGTTGGAGGAGACCACAAAGGCCATCCAGTCCAACCCCCTGCTACACAGGAAGATGCACTCAAAACACTCCCAACAGATGGCCATAATTTTTTTTAAATCCTGGGCATATATCATTGTGCCTAGTAGAAGTACCATTGATATGGAATCATAGAGACATAGAGTTGGAGGAGACCACAAAGGCCGTCCAGTCCAACCCCCTGCTACACAAGAAAACACACTCAAAACACTCCCAACAGATGACCATAAATTATATATATTTTTAATCCTGGGCATATATCACTGTGCCTAGTTAGAAGTACCACTGAAATGGAATCATAGTCACAATGTTGGAGGAGACTACAAAGGCCATCCAGTCCAACCCCTTGCTGCACAGGAAGACACACTCAAAACACTCCAAAGAGATGGCCATAAATGTATATTTTTTAATCCTGGGCATATATCACAGTGCCTAGTAGAAGTACCATTAAAATGGAATCCTAGAGTCATAGTGTTGGAGGAGACCACAAAGGCTGTCCAGTCCAACCCCCTGTGACACAGGAAGGCACACGCAAAACACTCTCAACAGATGGCCATAAATTATATATATTTTTAATCCGGGGCATATATCTCTGTGCCTAGGAGAAGTACCATTTGAATGGAATGATAGACTCATAGAGTTGGAGAAGACCACAAAGGCCATCCAGTCCAACCCCCTGCTACACAGGAAGACACACTCAAAACACTCCCAACAGATGCTATTATGTATGTATGTATGTATGTATGTATGTATGATGTATGTATGTATGTATGTATGTATGTATGTGTGTGTGTATCTATCTATCTATCTATCTATCTATCTATCTATCTATCTATCTATCTCCTGGGCATATATCACTGTGCTTAACAGAAGTACCATTGGAATGGAATCATAGACTCATAGAGTTGGAGAAGACCACAAAGGCTGTCCAGTCCAACCCCTTGCTACACAGGAAGACACACTCAAAACACTCCCAACAGATGGACATATTTTTTTAACTCCTGGGCATATATCACTGTGCCTAGTAGAAGCACCATTGAAATGGAATCAAAGAGTCATAGAGTTGGAGGAAATCCCAAAGGCCATCCAGTCCAACCCCCTGCTACACAGGAAGACACACTCAAAACACTCCCAAAAGATGGCCATAAATATTATATATATATATATATATATATATAGATAGATAGATAGATAGATAGATAGATAGATAGATAGATAGATATATAGATATAATCCTGGGCATATATCACTGTGCCTAATGGAAGTACCATTGAAATTGATTCATAGTCATAATGTTGGAGGAGACCACAAAGGCCATCCAGTCCAACCCCCTGCTGCACAGAAAGACACATTCAAAACACTCCCAACAGATGGCCATACATTATATTTTTTAATCCTGGGCATATATCACTTTGCCTAGGAGAAGTACCATTGAAATGGAATCATAGAGTTGGAGGAGACCACAAAGAGCGTCCAGTTCAACCTCCTGCTACACAGGAAGCCACACTCAAAACACTCCCAACAGATGGCTATAAATTATTATTTTTTAAATCCTGGGCATATATCACTATGCCTAGTTGGAAGTACCACTGAAATGGAATCATAGTCATAATGTTGGAGGAGACCACAAAGGCCATCCAGTCCAACCCCTTGCTACACAGGAAGACACATTCAAAACACTCCCAACAAATAGCCATGAATTATATATATTTAAAATCCTGGACATATATCACTGTTTCTTAGATATAATGCTGTTTGGAAGACAAACAGCTCACTGGTGGAGAAGTTACAGTTTCTCATGCTTGCTTTACCTCTATGTAAAGGTCCAACCTACCAAGATATTTCTGAAATATTACGCACAAAGAATTAGGTTAGTTTTATGAACCATCTAGGACCTTAAGATTGTCTGGGTAGGTCCTGCTCTCAATTCCGCCTTCCTTGCAGATTTATTATTACCATTATTATTATTATTATTATTATTATTATTATTATTATTGACTATATTTATGTACCGCCCCTCTCAACCCAAAGGCAACTCAAAGCGATTCACAAATTGGCAACAATTTGATGCCTCAACAATTATAACAAGTAAAAACAATCAAGAAATCCTGATAAAAACAATAGCATATGATATAAAAATATAAAAACCATACAAAGCCTTAAAACATTATCATGAGCGTCTCCATGTCAAATCGTTATTTCATTGCGTTATCAAGTAGTTCCATAATTCCGTTTAGCTATGCTGTATTTGGGAAGGCCTGCTCAAAAAGCCAGGTTTTCACCTTTTTTCGAAAAGTCAGGAGGGAGGGAGTCAATCTTATATCTCTAGGCAGGGCGTTCCAGAGATGCATTTGGTGGGGACGAGAGACAGGGCCTTCTCAGTGGTGGCCCCTCGGCTATGGAACGCCCTTCCCAGGGATATAAGATTAGCTCCCTCCCTTCTGACATTTGCAAAAAGGTTAAGACCTGGCTCTTCGAGAAACTTTTACTACTGGAGCATAATTAGACAAAAATGAATATATGGAACAACCGACTATGCAATTGGACAATGATTTTAGTAAGGAGATGCCGAGGGTTTTGTTTTTACAGGCTGTATTATTTTTTATATCACATTTTAAATGTTTTAATTGTTTTAACTGTATTCTTATTATTGTTAAAGCATCAAATCACTGTGGACGGTGAACCGCCTTGAGTCGCCTCTGGCTAAGAAAGGCGGTATACAAATGCGGTAAATAAATAAACAAATAAATAAACAAGTGACTTATCCATCAAATCCTTTAAACCACATTATTATTCATGAACAAAGCTTGTAGAAGCAAGAGCTAAAAGGCTATGGGCATGGAGAGGAGAAGTAGGAAGGAACAGTGAAAACAAAAGATTCAGAAGATGGAAGAAGAAAAGTAAATTAGTAAATGATGTGTCCCAAACTATGGGGAAGAGGAGGAGGAGGAAGAGGAAGAAGTCATTGTTTTCATATTATAATGTACTAGCGGTCCCCTGCCAGGCATTGCTGTGGCCCAGTCTGGTGATCTGGAAAATAAAGTAATGAGAAAGTGTTGGTTTCTAATATATGTAATTCTTTTCTGCTTGTGAGTAAACAGTATTCTTGCTGTTTCTTTGCCAGTGTTGATGTGGAGAGTGTCTGGTTTGCCTACTCTGGAACATGCAACATATAATTGTCCTTCTTTAGGGATCCCTTTCAAATCTTTGATACTGCATCTGTCATATACATATATGTGTGTGTGTGAATGGCTGGATGGCCCTTTGTCAGGAGGGCTTTGATTATGTTTTCTTGCCCTGGTGAAGGGAGTTGGACTGGATGGCTTTAAGGCAGCATTTCTCAAGACCCTGGGGAGGGTGTCACCAGGGGGTGTCAGAAGGGTCACCAAAGACCACCAGAAAACACAATATTTTCTGTGGTCATGGGAGTTCTGTGTGGGATGTTTGGCCCAATTCCATCACTGGTGGGGTTCGGAATGCTCCTTGATTGTAGGTGAACTATAAATCCCAGTTACTACAACTCCCAAATGTCAAGGTCTGTTTCCCTTAAACTCCATCTGTGTTCATATTTGGGCATATGGAGTATTCATGCCAAGTTTGGTCCAGATCCATCATTGTTTGAGTCCACAGTGCTCTCTGGATGTGGGTGAACTATAATTCCCAAACTCAAGGTCAATGTCCACCTAACCTTTCCAGTTTTTTCTGTTGGTCATTGGAGCCCTGTGTGCTAAGTTTGGCCCAATTCCATCATTGGTGGAGTTCAGAATGCTCTTTGATTGTAGGTAAACTATAAATCCCAGCAACAACAATTCCCAAATGAAAAAAATCATTTTTTTGAGTGGAGGACATATATTGGATTGTTAGGTGTCTTGTGTCCAAATTTGGTGACAATTCCCCTAGTGGTTTTTGAGTTCTGATGGTAGCACGAACTAACATTACATTTTTATTTATATAGATGTGACCCAAACTGTGGGGAAGAGGAGGAGGAGGAAGAGGAAGAAGTCACTGTTTTCATATTACAATGTATTACATTTTGTAGCTGTGCTCTGTTTTCTCTCTGTTTCAAGAGTAACGTAAGTCTTCTGAATAACCCCCAGAATCTCAAATGTGATCTAAATCACCAACCTGCCATTTAAACACCTTCTCAGAGAATAGGATGCGCCTCCTCCGCAGGTTCGTGAGCACTCACTCCAGGCTCCCCAGGCATCCCAGCCGCCTTCTTTAGCATCATCCAACTGGGGAATTCTTGAAGTCTGGAAACATGGCAGAAAGTAAAGAAAGTATCACGATGCCTGCACGCTGATTTGGGTAAGAGACTGGACTAAATTAGAGAAGGAAAAAATTCTAAACTTAGAAGGAGAAGGGCTAAGACTAGGATGGCACGCATATGTTGGATACGAAAGGGAAAAAACAGGAAAAAAAATTGGAAACCACTTTATCCGATCCTCCCTAATAAAAATTTGGAACAAACACAAAAATAAATTCTACAAAAAAACACCAACATGGCTCTCACCTTTAGAAGCGTCACAAAGAAGAATTACGGGATGGTACGACTGGCCCAAATATAAGGATATAATAAGAAAGGAAGGAGGAGAATTCAAGATGAAAACCCAAGAGGAATTAAAAAGTATAAATGATAAAATCTCTTGGTACCAATATGCACAAATCAAAGATCACTTTAAGAAAGATAAAGAAAAAGGTTTTGAGGAAGGGAAAAACTTCTGGGACAAAATAATGCAAACAGAAAATAAACTAATACCTAAAATATATAAGATACTTGTAGAAGAAGAAAGTAATAACTAAGAAGGGAAAAACTACATGAAAAAGTGGAAGGATAATTTGGGAAGAGAAATAACGAAAGAAGAATGGGGAGAAGTATGGAATAAAAAACTTAAAATATTCAAAAGCAACTGAACTTAAAGAAAATTGGGTCAAGATGGCACATAGGTGGTACATCACACCGCACAGATTAGGAAAATTTAGTAAAAACGCAAACACAAAATGTTGGAAATGCGGAGAAAAAGAGGGAACGTACTACCACTTATGGTGGACCTGCCCAAAGGCAATATCATATTGGAAGAAGGTACATAAAACATTGCAAAGAATATTAGAGATAAACATACCTCAAAAACCAGAAACTTTTCTACTTGGCATACACAACATAAAAATGGAAAAAAAATAAAGACAAAATTCTATTCCTGCTGACAACAGCAGCTAGAATAACATATGCAAGACATTGGAAAAAGAAGGATCCCCCAGAGGAAGAAGAATGGTTAACAAAAATACTAGACATAAGAAATATGGACAAACTGACGTATCTACTATCAAAAAAGAAGGGCATACCGATGGCTAAAACAGACTGGAAACGTGTAACAACATACCTGATAAAAGAAAAGAATATGAAAATAATTATTTAAAGACACAAGATCGAAAAAAGAGAACTAGGGGAGAGCAAGGTACAAAAGAAAGAGAAAGAAGAAAAAGGAAAAGAAGAAGGAAAAGGATTAGAAACCTCCAAAGATACCAGGAAGTCAACGCAACACCCACAACAATTACACCCCTTCACCATCCCTCACTACTCATTTCAAAATTTCTTTTCTCACACTCTCTACACAACAGGAAATCAGTGCTTTATAAGACGACGAGACCCAAGATAACCGAACAACCCTTACTATATCTCTATCTTTATCCCCCCCCTTCCCCCCCCCCTTTTTCCCTTTCTCTCTCTTCTTTACCAGCACCCTGTACAGTGAGAAACTTTGACAGGTTCAAAAGTTTCCAGCACTACCTATCTATATACCTGTATATTTTAAGAAAAGCAATAAAGATTATATTGTAAAAAAAAAAAAAAAAGAAAGAAAGTAAAGGAACTCAGCTGATCAGGAAAGTAGCCTGATTTTCAAATTCTTTAATCAAATTATCTAAAACCTCTTAAGCAGTGGGTCAGGACCACTGGGGGGGATTGTAAGGGGGTGTCAGAGGGGTTACCAAAAACCATCAGAAAATAGTATTTTCTGTTGGTCATGGGGGTTCTGTGTGGGAAGTTTGACCCAATACTATTGTTGTTGGGGTTCAGAATGCTCTTTGATTGTAGGTGAACTATAAATCCCAGCAACTAATACTCCCAAATGTCAAGGTCTATTTTCCCCAAACTCCACCAGTGTTCACATTTGGGCATCTTGAGTATCTGTGTCAAGTGTGGTCCAGATCCACTCATGTTTAACTTGTTGTTCACGAGAACTCCAAGATGTTTTTCACACGCACTGCTCTCGAGCCAGGCACCATCCCCCATTCTGTATCTTTGCATTTCATTCTGCTGTTATATATACATTCATAACATTTTTATGACACAGGAGGCAAAACTTTTTGACCCACTCTTGCATTATCGCCATGAAGAACCCCTTTTAGCTCAATGTTTATGTATCTAACAGGAGTGACATCCTGCTACCTGTATAAAGCCTGGAAAGGTCAGGAATAGAATCCTATGGAAAATACAGATGATTAGGTGTTCTTGATATGCAGCTACATCTCCCGGCATCAGTACCACTTAATCTAAACCACCGAAGGCCAAGACGAATCTCTTTGTCAATATACTTCATTTTGTAAAAGCAGTATTCAGTAAGGTTTGCCGTGGCAATGTTTCAGACCAATGGGAAGAGCTAAGGAAAAGTCGTTATTGTTGCTTTTTGAAAAAGAAGGCCTTTTCCTAATATTAACTTGGGTAGGCCAACACTAATGCATTTTCAGGTTAGCAGATTTGAGTCAGAAGCGTAGGAAATACAAGCGCATATTAGGGTGGCTATACATAGACTTGCACATAAAAGACATAGGCACATGCTTTCTTGGATTTCATTCCATATACCTGTTTCCTGGCATATAATTCAGGGTCTTATATTAATAACCTTATTTTCAGCTTATTTCCAAAAAGACTTTTTTAATGGAATGTAACTAGGGCTTGTTTTTGAAGTAGGGCTTATATTTTGAGCATCCTCAGAAATCCTGAAAAGTCATGCTAGGGTATGTTTTCAGGTTAGGTCTTATTTCAGGGAAACAGGGTAGACATTTGCATAGAAAGATAAAGGTTTCCCCTCAACATTAAGTCTTGTTGTTGTTCATTCGTTTAGTCGTCTCCGACTCTTTGTGACCTCATGGACCAGCCCATGCCAGAGCTCCCTGTCATCCGTCACCACCCCCAGCTCCTTCAAGGTCAGTCCAGTCACTTCAAGGATCCCATCCATCCATCTTGCCCTTGGTTGGCCCCTCTTCCTTTTGCTTTCCACATTCCCCAGCATCACTCCCTTCTCTAGGCTTTCCTGTCTCCTCATGATGTGGCCAAAGTACTTCAACTTTGTCTCTAGTATCCTTCCCTCCAGTGAGCAGCCGGGCTTTATTTCCTGGAGGATGGACTGGTTGGATCTTCTCGCAGTCCAAGGCACTCTCAGAACTTAGAATCATAGAATCCTAGAGTTGGAAGAGACCTCATGGGCCATCCAGTCCAACCCCCTGCCAAGAAGCAGGAAAATTGCATTCAAAGCACCCCTGACAGATGGCCATCCAGCCTCTGTTTAAAAGTTTCCAAAGAAGGAGCCTCAACCACACTCCAGGGCAGAAAGTTCCACTGCTGAACAGCTCTCACAGTCAGGAAGTTCTTCCTCATGTTCAGATGGAATCTCCTCTTGTAGTTTGAAGCCATTGTTCAGCGTCCTAGTCTCCAGGGAAGCAGAAAACAAGCTTGCTCCCTCCTCCCTGTGGCTTCCTCTCACATATTTATACATGGCTATCATATCTCCTCTCAGCCTCTCTCTGAACTTTCCTCCAACACCACAGCTCAAAAGCATCTCCCTTCCTTCGCTCAGCCTTCCCTAAGGTCCATCTCTCACATCCGGAGGTGACTACAGGGAAGACCATGGCTTTGACTAGGCAATGGATCTTTGTTGCCAGTCTGATGTCTCTACTCTTTACTATTTTATCGAGACTGGACATTGCTCTCCTCCCAAGAAGGAAGCGTCTTCTGATTTCCTGGCCACAGTCTGCATCTGCAGTCATCTTTGCACCTAGAAATACAAAGTCTGTCACTTTGTATTTCTAGACATTAAGTCTAGTCGAGTCCAATCTTGGGGGATGGTGCCCATCTCTGCTACAGAGCCAACGTTGTCGGTAGACACCTCCAACGGTAGACACCTCCAACGTCATGTGGCCAGCATGACTGCATGGAGTGCCGTTATCTTCCCACTGAAGTGGTCAATAGCTTTATAAACTATTGATAAATAGCTTGTTTATAAAGACTAGCTGTACCCGCCACGCGTTGCTGTGGCCAACCTTCCCCCTATCCCCCCTTCTTTCCCTCCTTCCTTCACTCCCTGTTTCCTTCCTTCCTTCCCGTCTTTCCTTCTCTCCTTCCTTCCTTCTCTATCGCTTTCCTTCCTTCCCCCTTTTCTTTCTTCTGCTTCTCTTCCTTCCTTCTCTTTCCTCCTTTCTTTCCCTCCCTCTTTCTCTACATTTTATCCCCTTCCTTCGCTCCCTCTTTCCTTCCTTCTTCCTTTTTCTCTTCTGCAGTCTCTCTTTTTTTCCTTCTCTCTTTCCATCTTTCCTTCCCTCCCTCTTTCTCTACATCTTCCCCCTTCCTTCGCTCCTCTCTTTCCTTCCTTCTTCCCTTTTCTTCCTTCTTCTTCCTTTCTCTTTCTTTCCTCCCTTTTTCTTCCTCCTTTTCCTCCTTCTCTTTCTTCTCTCCTTTCCTCTCTTCTTTCTCCCTTTTCTCCTTCCTTCCTTTTCTCCTTCCTTCCTTCTTTCTTTCTTCCCTCTTCTTCTCCTGTCAGGGGGTGATTTGAATGCAATATTCCTGCTTCTTGTCAGAATGGGGTTGGACTGGATGGCCCATAAGGTCTCTTCCAACTATTTGATTCTATGATTCTATGTCAAACAGCGGTTTAGAAGGGGGCGTGGCTTGGAGGTAACGTGAGGAGGGTAGAGGGAGGAGGGGAGGGGGGATGGGTTTAGAAGGGGGCGTGGCTTGGAGGTAACGTGAGGAGGGAGGAGGGGAGGGGGGATGGGTTTAGAAGGGGGCGCGGCTTGGAGGTAACGTGAGGAGGGTAGAGGGAGGGGGGATGGGTTTAGAAGGGGGCGTGGCTTGGAGGTAACGTGAGGAGGGAGGAGGGGAGGGGGGATGGGTTTAGAAGGGGCGTGGCTTGGGGGTAAGGTGAGGAGGGGAGGGGGGATGGGTTTAGAAGGGGCGTGACTTGGAGGTAACGTGAGG